TGGCAAGTGGCAGCTGCCCGGGACCCGTTGCACTCTGTAGATATAATTACGCGTCTGATTAAACGTTAGAATTGCAAGTCAACCGAGATTTGTCACTAACGTGTGTGATCTTGCGGTGTCCCTATCGGACGTGTCTACTGCAGCTATTCGGCCCGCAATGGATCGCATTGTAACTCGGTCACGGTGAAACGCGGACAGCTTGCGGGAGTTTCAATCGACGTAATCGTATTGATCGAACGAGTGTAATCGAGGGACTGCATAATCGTTGTATCTGTACTTTTTATCAAGATACTTTCTTATTTTGGTGCTTTGGGGTTGCAACTTCTGATGCGGGTGTGAGGTTATTGGCCGTTTGGTACAGTTAGCGTAGGTCTTGTTAGGGAAGAACTGATGGAGCTAATGGAGAACTGGAGGAATTTGGGGAGAAAGGAATTTGGAGATGCAGGGATTTAGGGAGGAAGGAATTTGGGGATGTAAGAAGTTGGGGACAAAGGAATGTGACACGTCGGAATTTGGGGATGAAGGGATATAGGGGTGTGGGAATTTGAGAGATTGCAAATCTGGGAATATTGGGATGTGGGGTTGCAAGAATTGGGGAATGTAGAGATCTAGGGATGGTGGAATTGAGGGATGTGGAGATCTGAGGATGCAGGAATTGGGGAATGTGGAGATTTAGAAAGGGTGGAATTGGGGAATGTAGAGATTTAGAAATGGTGCAATTGGGGAATGTAGAGATCTAGAAAGGGTGGAATTGGAGAATATAGAGTTCTAGGGATGGTGGAATTGGGGGATGTAGAAATCTAGAAGTGGTGGAATAGGAGGATGTAGAGATCTAGAAAGGGTGTAATTGGGGAATGTAGAGATCTAGAAAGGGTGGAATTGGGGAATGTAGAGTTCTAGGGATGGTGGAATTGGGGAATGTAGAGATCTAGAAATGGTGGAATTAGAGGATGTAGAGATTTAGAAAGGGTGGAATTGGGGAATGTAGAGATTTAGAAATGGTGCAATTGGGGAATGTAGAGATCTAGAAAGGGTGGAATTGGAGAATATAGAGTTCTAGGGATGGTGGAATTGGGGGATGTAGAAATCTAGAAGTGGTGGAATAGGAGGATGTAGAGATCTAGAAAGGGTGTAATTGGGGAATGTAGAGATCTAGAAATGGTGGAATTGGGGGATGTAGAGATCTAGGAAGGGTGGAATTGGGGAATGTAGAGTACTAGGGATGGTGGAATTAGGGAATGTAGAGATTTAAAAAGGGTGGAATTGGGGAATGTAGAGATTTAGAAAAGGTGGAATTAGGGGATGTAGAGATCTAGAAAGGGTGGAATAGGAGAATGTAGAGATCTAGAAATGCTAGAATTGGGGTATGTAAAAATCTAGAGATGCAGGAAATTTCCAAAGTCCCAAACTTCCAACCCCCAAATTCCCAAATTATCCAAACCCTCAAATCCCCTAATTTTCAACTTCCCAAATTTCCAAATATCCAACTACCCAAAATTCTTAAATTCTCCCACTTCTATATTTTGAAATTTCCAAATTCCCAAATTTCCACCTACCCCCAAATTTTCAAAACCCCAAATTCCCAAATGTTCAAACTCACGATCAATTATAGAACTCACCGCCAATACGGCGTTTCAATATTATCACCAAATATCGATAACCCGATAGTATTGACACACGTTGGTCCTCTGAACTTTCTACGAGGTAAACGAACCTAATCTGACACGCAACACGCACCAGGAGATTCATAAGGGTGGATGTTTTTCGTATATTATACCCTTATGATATATCACACGTGGCTGAGTAATAATGTTACAGGTAACAACAGGAGAGACAAACATTGCTGTATTCACTGTTGTTCATAAACTCCTGCAGGATGAAGGGTTGAAATTGGAATAGTGATCTGCACCCCGTCAGAACAATTTTTTTTCACCGAAACAATCACGATTCGGCAGCTACGAAAATAATTGAGGAAATTGATTGGTTTTCCAGTAAAAATCTGTAGGAAACGTCACAAAAATTTACCTGACCTGTTTATATTTGTAGACGATTAAATTTTATTTTAAGTTTCGAGCAAAAATATTTGTTGTAAAATTAAAAGATTTGGTCTAACGGGAATAAAGACACACCGGTTGCGATTTATGTAATTCGATCATTGAACGATTAACATTTTACGATCGCAATATTTTCGAACGGACATTAATACCTCGAGTCACGTGTAACTTTTATTTGAACAATTTACGATAACCGTAAAATTCCCAACACGCTCGTGTAATATAAATGCACGGTTTAACCTAAAAATTTCGGCTGATGAAAATTATACGTCCGTAACTTTTCGCGGTTTTAACTGAAATTGCACGGACCGATTACCTTAAATTACATTTGAATCACGGAAACATTTAGCGGATTAATACGAATGGAGGAAGCATAAAATTCTGATATAATGTATAATTATATTAGAAATTTGATTCGAGTAAAATCTAAAGAATCTTTGATGAATAAGTGATGTTATGAATTCGTGTAATTTACAATGTACATGTTTACAGCTGCATAATTCCTATCGAGTGAAAAGTATTCCGGAAAGATTCGAAACTTCCCCAAAACTATGCTCGAAACAAGCAGGAATGCGATCGACGCGTAAACTGTTTGCAAATAGGCCACAAGCGCGAACGCGAATCCGATTTGGTGAAGAGTTTAAAAAGTGCCGCTCGGAGAAAGTTTCTCTTAATTAAACGTTCGTCGAAACTCGAACGACCGCGGAATTTAATTAACATCCTGCTCGCGTAAGAGTACCGTCTCCGCGTGAATTAAGGGTTGAAGACGTTGATTGAACACCCTGGTGAGAAGCAACTAATCCACTCTTCGATAACAAATTAGAAAGTCTTCTTTCAATCTTCTTTCTGACAAAATTCAAATACATGTATAGTTGAAGTCAATGAAGCATAGGATTTTGACAGGATTTTTATGTGTAGAATTTTAATTATTACTTTCTATTAAAATTATTGTATTCGGTGAATGATATACAGTTTGGGGGATGTAGAAATTTGGGGATGCAGGAGTTGGGGGATGTAGAGGTTTGGAGATGCAGAAATTGGGAAATGTAGAGTTTTAGGAATGGCGGAATTGGGGGATGTAGACACTTAGGGTTGCAAGGAATTGGGGGTGTAGAGGATGATGGAGGATGTAGAGATATGGAGATGCAGAATTTGGGGAATATAGAAATCTGTGGATGCAGGAATTGGAGAATGTAAAGTTCTAGGGATGGTGAAATTGGGGGATGTAGAGATTTGGGGATGCAGGAATTGGGGGATGTAGACATTTGAGGTTGCAAGGAATTGGGGATGTAGGAAATGGAGGATGTAGAGATCTGGAGATGCAGAAATTGGGGAATATAGAAATCTGTGGATGCAGGAATTGGGGAATGTGGAGTTCTAGGGATGGTGGAATTGGGAGATGTAGAGATTTGGGGATGCAGGAATTGGGGGATGTAGAGATCTGGATGTGTAGGAATTGGGGAATGTAGAGATCTAGAAAGGGTGGAATTGGGGAATGTAGAGTTCTAGGGATGGTGGAATTGGGGGATGTAGAAATCTAGAAGTGGTGGAATAGGAGGATGTAGAGATCTAGAAAGGGTGTAATTGGGGAATGTAGAGATCTAGAAAGGGTGGAATTGGGGAATGTAGAGTTCTAGGGGTGGTGGAATTGGGAGTGTAGAAATCTAGAAAGGGTGGAATGGGGGAATGTAGAGATATAAAAAGGGTGGCATTGGGGAATGTAGAGTTCTAGAAATGGTGGAATTGGGGAATGTAGAGATCTAGAAAGGGTGGAATTGGGGAATGTAGAGTTCTAGGGGTGGTGGAATTGGGAGTGTAGAAATCTAGAAAGGGTGGAATGGGGGAATGTAGAGATATAAAAAGGGTGGCATTGGGGAATGTAGAGTTCTAGAAATGGTGGAATTGGGGAATGTAGAGATCTAGAAATGGTGGAATTGGGGGATGTAGAGATCTAGGAAGGGTGGAATTGGGGAATGTAGAGTTCTAGGGGTGGTGGAATTGGGAGTGTAGAAATCTAGAAAGGGTGGAATTGGGGAATGTAGAGATATAAAAAGGGTGGCATTGGGGAATGTAGAGTTCTAGAAATGGTGGAATTGGGGAATGTAGAGATCTAGAAAGGGTGGAATTGGGGAATGTAGAGTTCTAGGGGTGGTGGAATTGGGGAGTGTAGAAATCTAGAAAGAGTGGAATGGGGGAATGTAGAAATCTAGAAAGGGTGGAATTGGGAAATGTAGAATTCTAGGGATGGTGGAATTGGGGAATGTAGAGATCTAGAAATAGTGGAATTGGGAAATGTAGAGTTCTAGGGATGGTGGAATTGGGGAATGTAGAGATCTAGAAAGGGTGGAATTGGGGAATGTAGAGATCTAGAAATGATGGAATTGGTAGACGTAGATATCCAGGAAGGGTGGAATTGGAGGATGTAGAAATCTAGAAAGGAGGGAATTGAGGAATTTAGAAATCTGGGGATGCATGAAATTTCCAAAGTCCCAAACTTCCAATCAGTAGAGTATAATTTACATCCAGAAAAAATTCACAAAAATTGTTAAATCTTCCATAAAAGCTTATGTAATTAATTTTCTTCAAATTTTTTGCACAAACCCCGTTCTTATGAATATTCAATGAGTCCATCAGCTTCCACTTAAAAAGTACATTTCACATGTATCTTACATCAAAGGCCTCTTTAATATTTAATACCGTAAACATGATATTAAATTCTATCTTACTCAAAGTTGTTTCGCATTTTTCATTTCCTCTGTGAAATTTGAAACGCGTGAGCTATTACATTCTGACTCTGAAGAAGCAGAAATGTTTCAAGTTGTCTCGTTGTAATGGAGGACGCTTGTGACGGTGAGTTTTAACGCATAAATGTTATGTTTGTTTACAGAAGAAAGATGAACGAGATGGAGCAGATTCCTGAAGGCTGAGAGCGAGTGGATCCTTGAGATGACCGGCTGGAGAATGCAGCCGACTGCATCGGCGCTCGGCGTCATCGCCATTGTCTCCGTCATGATCACTATCACTGCTTCCGGTTAGTATTACGTGAATTAAATTTAAGCTTAGATACGGAAAAATTCTTTCAAATTTTAATTTTAGTGAAGTTTAGTTTTGGCCATGTTTAATTTTTCCAAATTTTAATTCTTGCGAGTTCCAATTTTGACAAATTTTAATTCTTGCGAGTTCCAATCTTGAGAAATTTTAATTTTTGCGAGTTCCAATTTTGACAAATTTTAATTCTTGTGAGTTCCAATCTTGCGAATTCCAATCTTGAGAAATTTTAATTCTTGCGAGTTTCAATCTTGAGAAATTTTCATTCTTGCGAGTTCCAATCTTGAGAAATTTTCATTCTTGCGAGTTCCAATCTTGAGAAATTTTCATTCTTGCGAGTTCCAATCTTGAGAAATTTTCATTCTTGCGAGTTCCAATCTTGAGAAATTTTCATTCTTGCGAGTTCCAATCTTGAGAAATTTTCATTCTTGCGAGTTCCAATCTTGAGAAATTTTCATTCTTGCGAGTTCCACTTGCGAATTCCAATCTTG